CCGCCTCCCACCCACCCGCCACGCCCGCCATGTCTCTGCCGTTCCTCCAGCCACAGGCCGTCTGGCCAACCTCGCCGCCAACTCGGACCGCACCCTCAACATGCTCTCGCACTCGCTCGAGGCCATCCGCGCCAGAACCCGCGCCACGGCGGTACCTCGCCGACTCGACTCTCTGGGCATGTCTCCGCTGGCTGCCACATCGCGACAGGAGAGACCGTCTCTCCGCTTGAGCGCTGCTCATCAGATGCCTTCCTCCCACCCGCGCCCGTTGGTCCTCTCTCCGCGGGCTGCTGCTGATGATGTGGCGAGAAGGCTGTGGGAAGAAGTCGATGACGCCTTTCCGCTGCCTGCCTCCCGCACACTGGTAGCAACGTGCGCCGCCAGTGATGAGATCGGCGTGTCGACTGCCGAAGAGAGCTTGGACTCGCCGGACGATCCTGCTGCCAAGCTCGACTTCCACGTGGCCCGGCTCCGGGCAGCGGGCGGCGATCCGAGAAAGTGGAATGCCGCCATCGATGCGCTGCAGCTTGACCTCTCGCCGGCGCTGGCGCAACTTGTCGAGACCAACCGGTCGCTGCAGGCCCGGGTCGACTCGGCCTTTTCGCGCTCGCGCTCGCTGGTCTTCGCTGACTCGGACGACGAGGAGCGCAACGAGCGCGACGAGCGCCAGCTCGCACATCTCCGCAAGCAGGCGGCTGGCCCAGACGACCTCGGCTGGATTGCTGAGCAGGTCTCCAGTCTCGACGCAGACTTTGCTCTCGTTCTCGCTGCTCTTCCGCCTCCCGAGAGCGGCAGCGAGAGCGATGACAACAGCTCTTGAGCCACGCACCTGATGCGTTTACAGGCTAAACCATGTTGGGTGTGATGCCCACCCCAGTGAGTGGCGGGAGCTTGTGTGGCGGGCGGTGACTGCGGCCGCGCCGGACTCCCCTGCCGCGCTGCCGCCTCCGCGCCGGCAGCGGGCCGGCGTCGAGCCGGATCCGCCGTCCGCCCGGGCTCGGCGGCGTGGCGATGCGAACGAGCGCCGCCCGCCGCATCGCCTCGCGCGGGTCGGATGCGCCGTCGTCAGCTTCGGGTGCGTCTGCCACCGGCCGGCTCCGCGGCGACGGCGTAGGCGCAGATGCCGGCGACAGTGCGGGCGCGAGCCCAAACGCGGCTTGGATCCGGTACACCCGGTGCTCGTCGTCGAGCATAGTGTCGAGTCGCGGATCGCCTCCAGGCTGAACTGGCTCGGCGCGCGTCTCGCGCAAAAAATCAAGATGCTGAGCAGGAGCCAGTGGCGGCGGCGACGACGAGATCCCCACCTCCGGCAGCAGCGTCTCCAGTGCTCCAAGGAGCGACGCCACCTGTCTACACGAGCCTGAGCCCGATCGCGACCCGCCGGTGCCGTCATCAGTCACGCCCAGCATGTCGCGGCCGGTTCCGCCCGGGATGACCGACTCGAGCAGTCGCGCCGGAGCCAAGCCCGCGCTGTCGCGGTTAGAGTACCGTGTCTTCACCCTCGCGCTCACCCGCTCGACCGCCGACAGCGCCGCCCTGCCGCTGCCGGACCCGTCCCCGCCACTGCAGTCGGACCGGGCGCTGTACTCGACCGAGCCTGCAGAGAGCTCGGCAGCAGGGATTCGCGGCAGCGCCAGGCTGCCATCAGAGCGCTGCAAGTCGGCCTCGAGGGCAGCGATCGACTGCGTGGGGAGGACGTCGTCAAACGGGCGGATGAGCTCGCCTTCCGGCGTCGACTCTGAGCAGGAGCCCGATGTAGAGTCGCGGTCCCAGAACGCGCCCGGTACCGCATTGCGGTGGAGCGAGCGGTCGCGGGCGGCGCCGCGGACATAGCGAAGGCCGGCGGCAAACTCGGATGCAGCCAGCTCGGCGATAGTCGCCTTTGTCGCGGACTCGTCCAGCGCCACAACCTTGGCGGCAGACGACGCATTGCGCTGCCAAACCTCGTCCTCGGCCACGCCCGAGCGCTCAGTCATGGCCGCCAGGCCGACCGGGGAGCACGTGTGCCGCGCATGGCTCCGCAGGTACATCACCGCAAAGCCGACAATGAGAACCAAATCCTCGAGCGCTGGCACCAGCGACATACCAAGCAGATGGTCGATGCCGTGAAGGACATGGAGGAGGACACCATTTTGGATGTCCCACACCGTCAGCACGCCGTCGACCGACACCGCCGCGCCATGGTTCGACGCCTGGCATAGCGCCACGTCGGCCACTTGCCGACGGTGAAACTCAAGGACACGGCCCTTGCGGAGCGTGGTGAGTCGGCCTGACGCTGCATCGCCACGGATCCGCAGCGTCGCCAGCGCACCGTGCTGCGAGCCGAGAATGACAAAGCCGTCGTCGCCAACCGCTACCGCAGAGATGAGCACCCCGTGCGCGTGCAGCCGCGCCAGCCGCGACTCGAGCGACGAGCCCATGTGGACCGCCGCAGACACAAACATCGGCGCGCAGTGGAACCGCTGCACCGCCGGGCTCAAGCTCCGTGTGTCAAACGTGTCAACCACTCCTGACGACGAGACGCCGACCACAAGCCCAAGCTCTGGCATTGCTCGCAGGAGAAGCACCGCGTCCGACGGCTCAAACAGCGCCAGCTCGGTCACCGCCATCTGGCACCGCAAGCACCACACCTTGACACGCCCCGACATGCAGCCGGCGGCGACTAGAATTGGATCGCCTCGTGGCACGTCTGGCGTAGCCGTAGTCTTCGCAGTCTCTCCCTCGGACATGACTTCGGTCTCGGTCTCGTCCCCGTCCTCGTCCGCGTCCGCGGCTTCAGCCTCATTCGCTTCCCGGCCCGAGCCGACAGCGCGGGCGACGGCGGTGCCGAGCGCGGAAACAGCTGCCGCCATGGCCGTGGTGGCGGTGCTCGGCATGCCGTGAGTGCACACGTGGAACATTGCGCTGCCTTGCGGCTGGTGAAACCAGATCAGCTGCGTCACATGCTCAGCGTTGACCGTCGAGACGTCAAACGAGACGCCAGGGTCAAGGACTGCGACATCGTCCTGCTCCACGTTGCGGATCTTGATATTGCCGGTTCCGTACTTGATATGGGTCGGGACTGCCTCGGCCGGGAGTTTGCCAGTACTTGTGGCGTCCTCGCTGGCGGCTTTCCATGCCGGCCGGCGGTCGGGAATGGCGTAGTTGACAAGCTCGACACGGCCCGAGTCGTAGCCGACAATGTAGCTTTCAAGGCGAAGGTGTGGCGGCGGAATGAGAAGGGCGGTGATCGATGGCAGCCCACGCTGGGCCAGGATCTCAGTCCGGAGCCTGTCGATGACGTCGGCGGCGTCGCCCCTGCCAAGCTCCTCGCCGCCGGGTTGCTTGGCTTCGATGCTGATGGAGCGAACCGATGGCTCGCTTTCCAGCTTGCCAAGGCCTTTGGTCATTCTCGCGATCTGCGCCTTTTCAGAAAGCATATTGCGAGCCTCTTTCTCGGCCTGCTTGCGACTCTCGCGACGGCGAGCAACCGTGGTGGGGAGCGAGAACATGATGCGATTGGAGCGGGTGCGACGGAGGAGCGAGGGCACGAGCGCGACGCGGGCATCGTCCTCATCGAGTGCGGTGGCTTCGGCCTCCAGCGTCGCCTCGTTGATGAGATAAGACTCGCCGAGCTCTTGACGGGCGGCGGCGATGCGGTCGGCGACTCGCTTGCGCTCAAAGAGTGCGCGGAGGTGGGCGTCAAAAGCGTAGCCCTGTGGTGCAAGATTCTGGTCGACGAGCGATACTTCAGATGCCGGATCCGGGAGCGCAAGCCGGAACACGACGTTGTCAACCGTCGCCGCCATAATGTAGCCGTCGGCCACCGTAAGATGCGCCACCAGCGAGTCGCACTCGAGTAGCTGTGTCGGTCGCTCTTCCACAGAGAGAAGCGAGAGTATCGGCCCGGTCACAGTCACCAGCGTCGGCGCGGTGAAGGTCGGTGTTGACCAGAGCGCGTGCCGGCACCAGAGTATCGCTTCGGGTGGCGACGGCAGTAGAAAGGCCGATTCGGGTTCGCTGGTGCCGGCTGCGTCCGGCTCGTCCCCGCCGTGGTCGCCGAGCGCGGCGGTGAGCTCGGCGGCCGCGTGCTGAGCAGCACGCCTCGCGGCCGAGTGCCCGCTCGAGAGCGCAGTCAGGATCGAGCCCTCGAGCGCAGGCCGGCCGAGCACGTGGGCCGCGAGCTCGGTGCCAGACGGGACGTGCCAGAGTTTGACGACCCCGTCGTCAGCGACGGAGGCCATGAGGCAGGTGAGCGGCGAGGGCGGAAAGTCACTGCTTGTCTCGGACGTGCGAAGCGGAGACGGTGCCGAGCCGGAACTTGAGGTGCTGCTGGCGCTGGACTCAGGCTCGGGTTCGAGCTCGGGTTCGAGCTCGGGCTCGAGCTCGGGCTCGGAGGCAGGCGGCGACGCCAGCACAATGTCACGCCCGCGGCGAGCCTCAAACGAGGCTGGTGGGCGGATGAACGCGTTCTCCGCCATGGCAAGGGCGTTGACTCGCCGGGTGTGGCCGAGCAGGACATCCCAGAGGATAAGATGCGAGTCTGCGATGGCAAAGACCTGGATGGCAAACGAGAGCGTGGCGACAGCGACAAGCTGGAACCGTGCCGAGTACTCGAGCGCCGTGATGGGCGAGCCCAGGTTGGTCTGAATGAGTGTCTCGCCCGACTCTGTCGAGACGACGTAGACGGTCGAGTCGAGATAGGCAAAGACGCGGGGGAGCGACGGATCGGCGACCAAGTGTGAGATCCAAGGCAGCGAGTGCGGCACTTCGCGGATCATGGCACCTTCATACACATCGATCTTGCGAGTATGCCGATCAGCAACGTGGTGAAAGCCCCAGAGCTGAAAGAGAGACGGTTTTGCGGCGACAAGGAGTCTCGCCGAGCCGTGGAGACCGACCATGGTGACCATTGATCTCAAGGTAGCGACGCGAACGAGAAGAGTCAGAGAAGCAGCATCATGAACAGCAATGGCATCATGAGCATACATACCATATATAACGTTGTGTGCACGAGAGTACACCAAACATGTGAGCGGCTGATCAGTCGAGACAAACGCCATCAGCCGTCGATTAGCCACACTCCAACTGCGGACTGTCCGTGCATGCGAGGTCACTACCGCATGACTCGGCGCCACATACACCGCAGACAGCACCGTCTTGAACCTCCCCGCAAAATGGCCCACAAACCTTGCTTCCGTTGCGTTGGCCTTGGGTGCTCGGTCCGTTGGCTTGTGATGCCGCATGGCCACAGCCTGGCCGATAGCCTGCACGGGGGGGCGGGGGATGGGGGGGGGGGGGGGGGGGGAGGGACGGGAGTGCGGTGGTGGTCGGTGGCCGGGCCGACTGCCGGACAGAGGCCCACGAGGGGAGAGGAGGGAGGGGGGGAGGGAGCAAATCAGACGCAAGTAGAGGTGTATGTATGCAGGGGAGGGGGGGGGGGATTGTGGCTACACAGTCAATATCGACTGCTTGAGCTGTGGCTTGGCCTGTTTGCGCGCCTTGCGCTGTCGGTACCGTACGTACCGCTGCGGATCGGCATGGATGGCCTCGCGGACGTGGAGGTGGGCAAACGACGATGAGATGGCTGTCCGCTTGACGGCGGCGAGTGGACGCGGTGCGGCGATCGAAGACCCATTGGACGAAGCTGGAGATCCAGGGCGCGACTCGCCGGGCTCGTCGTCGAGCTCCACCTCCCACTCGTACATCTTGTACACAAACGGGGTCGGCGGCAGGCCGCAGCCGCGAGCCGGACCGGTCTCGGCCGGCTGAGCCGGCTCGGCCTCGTCGCCTCTGCCACTGCCACCGCCACCGCCACCGCCACCGCCGCCGGCTTCCGCTCGCCGTGCGCCGAGAAAGTCAAGAGACTTGGGCAGTGGAACCGTCCGCGACCGCCGATGCGCCTGAATCTCCGCCCTTGTTTGCTCTTCGAACATCTTGGTCAGCTCCTCGAGCTCCTCGCGCTCCTCGCGCTGCTGAATGGCCTCAACCCGGCGGAAGAGGTCGCGGACAACAAGCTGCGGGCGGCAGTGGGGTGGCGGCTCGGGGTGCCGCGGCTTGGCTGTGGTCCAGAACGCCACCCGCCCGCCGTCGCCACTCCCGCTCCCGCCGTCGCTCCCACTTCCGCCGCTCCTACCGCGCCGCACAGTGCGGCGCCGGCGGGCCAGCCGGTGTGCCCTTCCAGAGCGCAGATACAGCGGCGTCAGCGAGTCCTCTGATGCCCGCATCGCCGGAGACGTTTCACCCAGCAGCGGCGGCAGCGACCGCCCGCGTCCTGTCGCCAACATCCGCGACGGCGAGAGCAGCATGGCTGTTCGTGGCGCGTCCAGCGGGCCGAGCTTGTCACACCGCCTCCGCTCTCTCTGGGTCACCCGCTTGCGATCAAAGATGGTGAGCGCCTTGCATGAGGTCACCACCACCCTGCGATAGCCCAGCTCCTCCTCCACGGGGTTGCCGAACAGCGTGAGCGTGGTCAGATACTTGAGCGGCGCGAGTTCCTTTGCCACGCGGTGAAGGCCGCGCAACTGGTTCCGATGCAGCAGCAGAACCTCCAAACACGGCATCGACGACAACACCCCATCAATGACCGTCAGCATGTTGTTGTGGACCGAGAGTGTGGTCAGTCTCGTCAAGTGAGAGATGCGCGTAAGTCGGACCAGTGCATTTCCCTCCAGATACAGATCATTGAGAAAGCGAAACCGTTCAAATCCGGACAGTTTTTGAATGCCCTTGTGTCCCAGGTACAGCTCACGGACCTGTCCGCCGTGGGGAGAAGGGTGTGCGGAGAGGGGGTGAGTGAGTGAGATGATGCGGGTGGAAGGGGAGGGGAGGGGAGGGGAGGGGAGGGGAGGGGAGGGGAGGGGAGGTGGGCCTACCTGCTCGGGTGTCCGTCCACCAAGTTCGCGCTCGGGATGGGAGACTACCCGCTCGAGCAGAGCCATGGGATGGGATGGGGATGGGGTGGGATGGGGTGGGGTGCGTGAGGTGGTGGGCGTGTGCGGAGAGATGCGGGGGGTGGCGGGGGGGGGTGGGAGGACGCCGGCGAGTCCGTTGCTGGCGGTCGACAGCCGACGACTGACCCGACGGCCAACGACTGATGGCACAATCGGCTAATCGGTGAATACGGCGGACCGATGGCAATCCGAAGGCAATCCGATCGCCATGGCTAATCGACTTGATGGAGGTACGATGGAGATGTGTGTTCGGGTATGGGGGGAGGGGAGGGCGGGGAGGGGAGGGGGGGGGGAGGGAGTGTTTTGGTGAGATTGCCGCGGCGGGTGATAAGGACAAAGAAGACATGATCAGTTAGATCTATGTTTGCTCTGTTTTCGACATGACTCACAGTCTCAACGAGAGCGATGGCGCAGCGTATCTCATCGCATACAGCCTTGCCCCCCTCTAGTTTGCGGATGTTCGGACCGCAGCATGCGGCTAGACCAACATACGGTGCCTTGGACCTGCGATTGAATGTGAAGAATCGACGTCCATCGTCGATGGACCGAATCCAATCTTCTCAGATGATCGGAGGCTCCACATCGCCACGATCTAGCAGCCAGACAAGCACACAAAGGCCGTAACCATCGCATCCATACCCCCAACCTACCCCAAACGCCTACCAACTCTCCTCTTCCCCCTTCCCTCCCCCCTCCCCTCCTCCTCACCCAATCCCCTACCCTTTCCCCATCCCTGACCTCGATGCCGATCTCCCACATCCCCCCACCCCGCCTACCCCAGCCCAGAGACCAACCACCACCACCACCACCACCACCAAACCACATCCCCCTCATCCCCTCCCCTCCGGATCCGATCCGATCCGATCCCCCCCCTCCCCCCCTTCCGTCGCCACAGCCAAAACACAGCTGGTCAACTCGCATCCACCACCACCTCACCCCCTTCCCGCCCCCCCCCCACCCCCACCCCCCCCCCCCCCCCACCACACACACAGCACCATGACCACCCCCACCCCCGACACAGTGCTCCCACTCCTGGTGGCATCCCTTAGCCATGAGCCAAGCGAGCGTGAGCCTGCGTCGGAGGCACTCAGCCGTCTGCAGACCACGGCGGGCTTCTGTGCAGCGCTTGCTACCCTGGTGACGGCTGGCATGGATGATGGTGATGATGATGACGATGGTGCTGGTCATGGATATGATGAGAGCCATAGTCAAGCGTATGCTGCTTATGCCGCTGGTCGCCGTCTGCCTGAAAACGTTCGCACCATGACGGCTGTCCTCCTACGACAAGCTGTGGATGCTGCTTGGAGAAGTGCTTCAGATGAGGAACAGGTCCATGTGAGGGAGCTCCTCCTTGCTGCTCTGGCGTCACCTACCGCGTTTGCTGGCGCTCCAAAGATCGCTAACTTTGTGGCTGGCGCCGTCGGTCGTATGGCTCGCGTCGATCTGGCTCGCGGCGCTTGGAATGAGTTGCTGCCCACACTGGTCGAAGGCCTGGCCAACCCGCAGCATCGTCTTGGCCTCGTCAACGCCCTGCTTGCCTTTTCTTTGTGGCCGAAGAGCTGGTCTCGTCGCGCAAAGCAGGCGGCGCCACTCGCCGGTGGGCGCCTGTTCCCGAGGGTGAGTCGGAGGCCTCGGCCACCCGCCAGCTGCTTGGCCAGCTGGCGAGCGAGCTGCTCCCCATGCTGACGTCGGTGTGGCGATCGGGTGCCGAGGAGGTGGCTGTCGGTCTGGAGCAGATTGCTCGCGGCGGGGCAAGTGCCGACGCCGTGGCGGGCGTCGAGGACGCGCTCGTGGTCCTGCTGTATGCTAACCGCGTGCTGACCAAGCTGGTGGTCCACGGCGTGACCTCGTTCTCCGACTCCTCACCGACGGTGACCTGGCTCGGCACCCTCCTCGAGACACTGCCATCGCTCCTCGGCCCTGCCGGCAACGCCTCTGAGGCTGCTGAGCTCGGCCGGTCGGCCCAGGCCACGGTACTGGAGATTCTTGCCGTCCCAAGCGAGGTCCTCGTTGCCCACCCTCTCTCGTTTGCCGGTATCCTCCAGCCATTCCTTCACTACTACCATGACTCGCTGCAAGACGCTCTGGCCTCGCTCACCTTTTTCGAGGACGACGTCTCGAGCCTCTCGCACTTTATGCAGTCGTACCTCATTCTCATGCTGCAGTTTGAGACGGGCGTGCTCGACTACGTGGCGCTGCTGCCGCCGCCGGGCGAGGCTGCCGGCGACGGGAGCACCATCTCGGCATCAACAGCTCTGTGGCGGGCCTCACCGTCGGTCTTCAGCTCAGCCATGCTCCGGAGTCTGGTCCGGAGCCAGCCGCAGGCCGGCGTAGCGCTGCGTGCCGCCGGCGAGACCATCGAGGCTTTTCTCTGCTCGTCCGGCGCGAGGAGCGAGGACGACACGTCGCCACGTCTGCTCGAGCTGCTCGAGCTGGTCTCGTCGCGGCTTCTCCCGCTCTGTGCCAACGACCTCGCGCTGTGGGGCGACGATCCTGAAGGCTACGTTCTCCGCGGCGACGCGCTCAACGCCGAGGTCGACGTCCGCCCGGCGGCCGATGCGCTGGTGGTGGCCTGGGTTAAGACTTGCTTCGACCTTGTCTCGCCAGCACTGCTCTCAATGCTCTCGCAGGCCGCGAATGCGAGTCTCGACAGCCTTGACGAGGTGCTGATGAAGGATGTGGCCTACCGCTGCGCCGGCATCTCGTCATGGGAGCTCGCCGACGCCGTCCCGTTTGCCTCGTGGTTCACCGACGGGCTGGTGGGCGAGGCGCGGACGAGCTCGTCGTACGCGCCCATCATCACCGCCCGTATCCTTGGGCTCATCGAGCACTGGCTGCCGTCGTTCAAGGAGCCGAGAGCGCGGAGCGCGGCCTACGAGCTCGTTGTTGACGTCCTGACCGGCTCGGAGGACATGGTGTGCAAGCTGGCGGCGAGCGCCGCGCTCTGGCACCTCATCAACGACTGGGACTTTGAGGCCGAGGGCTTTGCCGGCTACGCCGCGCTCGCGCTCGAGGGCCTCCTCAAGGTGGTGGCCGAATCGGGCGAGGCCGAGAACAAGCTCCTCTGCATTCGCACCATCTCGCTCATTCTCGACCGGATGGGTGGCAAGGTCCGCGGCCTGGCGTCGTCGCTGGCGTCGACGCTGCCGGAGCTGTGGAACGTGTGTGACGAGTACGTCAATCTCAAGCCGGCCATCGTCAACACGACCATCAAGGTGGTGGCGGCGCTCGGCGTCGAGGCTGCGTTTATCGACGACTTTGTCCTCCCGCTCATCGAGTACTGCACCGAGCCGGCGCCGCACGGGGTGTATCTCATGGACGAAGGCCTAACGTTGTGGGAGGAGACACTCAAGGTTGCGCGCGAGCCCATGTCGGCTGCGCTGCTGGGGCTCCTCCCACGCGCACTGGCGCTCTCGCACTCGGGCCTCGGCGAGCTCGTCTCGTGCTGCAAGATCCTCGAGTCGTACGCGGTCCTCGGCGGGCCGGCCTTCCTGGAGGCTCGCGGGTCCGAGGTGGCAGACGCGCTGATGCGGCTGATGGGCTACGGACGCGGCGACGACGGCATGGCCACCGTCCTCCCGAGCGTCATCACGCTGCTCCAGGTCTGGCCGTCGGGCGGGCCGGCGCTCTTTGGCGAGGTGGTGACCAAGGCTGTGGGCGACTTGCTCAACGGCAAAGTTCCCTCGGTGCTCTGCGCCAAGTACCTCGTCCTCATCGCCCGGGTCTGCCTTGTTGCGCCGTCGTTTTTCTCGGGCCTCTTTGCCGACTCGGGCGGCGAGGCCGCCATGGGCGCGTTTCTGGACGTGTGGCTGGCGCGGTGGGAGGAGGTGACCGAGCCGTCGGAGCGCAAGGCGACGTGCATGGCACTGGCCTCGCTGATGGCCGTCCCATCACTTGTCGCGCCGCGCTTTGGTGCTCTTGTGGCTGTAATTGTCACAGTACTCTACGAGTCTGAGCCCGGCACGCCGTCGCCGATTCTGGCGCAACTGCAGGCGTCCGCCGGAGCTGGGGCCGCCGCCGCTGGCGGCGCCTGCGCGCCGCGCAACGGCCGCGGCCGCGGCTTTGACGCCATGTTTGCAGCCTCCGAGTCGCTCCTCGACGCCGCCGCCGACGAGGAGAGCAACGGTCGTGCCGCCGCGCTCCGCGACTCGATCCTCAGCCTCTCGACCCAGCACCCGACAGCGGGCGGGCGCGAGGCCGAGCCCGAGGCGCAGCGCCGGGCGGCACTGTGGGCGGCCGATGCTGTCGTTGCCACGCCGCTCCGCGAGTATGTGGCGGAGCAGCTCGGCGTGCTCCAGAACCAGGTCGGCAGCGACGGCTTTGAATCGCTGCTGAGCCAGACCTCGCCGTTTGTCCGCGACCAGTTTGTGCGGTACTGGGAGGCGGCAGGCTGAGGCTGAGACTGAGGCTCAGACCGCGGATAGCGAGCGGTGCGAGTCCTCGGTGCGAGCCGGTTCGGGCGAGGCCGAGTTTGTGCCCGCACGCAGCGCAGCGTCGAGCGTGTCCTCGGCGGCCGAGCGTGTCTTGCCGACAAAGAACCGCAGCGCCGAGTAGTACGACGGCCGGAGGAGTGCAGGCCGCGAGAGGAGGGCCTGGACGAGGACGGCCGAGGCTGCGGCAAAGACGAGGATGTTGCCGCGGCGGAGGCGCGGAAGGAGGCGGGCAGCGGCGCCGATGCGGTACCACGAGCCGAGCGCGTACTGCAGCATGTAGAGGCCGAGCTCGAGGCGGCGCGACTTGCGCTCCAGAAAGATGGCAAAGCCGCCGACGAATCCGGCTGCCGCCGCCAGCAGCGGCGAGCGGAGCGAGGTGTATCGGGTAAAGGTGCAGACCGTCGCCCATGCGAGCGTGGTGTAGGTCGAGAGAAAGACTGTGGCCTGCCCCACGTTGCGGGCGAGCTTGAGGAGAGTGACAAGCGGCGAGGTGAGGAGGGCGGTCGGGCGGAGGAGGAGGAGCGGGAGGGTGAAGACCGGAAGATAGACAGCCGCCGAGCGCGGAAGCGCGCGGATGAAGAACCGCATTAGGGCGCGGGAGCACGAGTCCGGCTCGTCTGGGTGATGGATGTGGTGGAAGACGTGCGGGTGGAAGAGCGAGCCGACGGCCGGATAGCCCGCAGCCTCGCGCTCGGCGTTGATGGGATCAACGTCGACGTCGAGAAAGCCGCGAGGCGAGGCAAAGATGTGGCGGACGGCGTCGTAGACCGGCGGCGACTTTTGCCCATGGTGGTTGAGGAACCGCATGTACGAAGGATCGACCGAGTCGGCGGCAAACATCCAGGCAAACAGCAGGTGCGTCGACGGTACAATAAACAGGGCTGCGTCTACGTGCCGCCAAGCCGGGAGCACGCCACGCTGCACGCCCCACCGCCCGGCGACCTCAATGGCGCGCACAGCCGCAAAGATGGCGAACGTCGTCCGCGACGCCGGCGGGAGGGCAGCCATGGCGATACCGCCAGCGATGCTCCCGATGATGGCGCCCGAGTAAGGAAGGATGCGGGCTTCAAGCGCCTTGCGCGAGAACCACGTCGGCGCCAGCGATGACGACGAGGAGGAGGAGGAGGAGGACGATGCCGGGGCGAGGAGGACGGCGGCGCGGGCGGCGATGATGAGTGCGCGAATGAGCGAGACGTATGCGGCGAGAAAGGCGGCCCATCGGATGGGGCCGGTGTTGGTGACAATGGCGAGGAGTGTGGCCTTTAGCCGGGCGATCGAGGGCTTTGCCAGCAGACGGACGATCTTGGGCAGAGCAGCGAGGAGCGAGGGCAGGCCGTAGCCGATGGCAGCTGCCCGAGCCGTCCGCCAGGCGAGGGCCGACAGGGCCGAGGAGAGGGCCGGGGTGGAGGCAGTGGCGGAGGCAGGGGCGAGTGCGGTGACGACGGCGTCGGTGGGTGGGTCTACGCCCGGGCGGAAGCAGGGGGGGAGGGACATGGTGGGAGGGGGAGAGGGGTGGAGGAGTGGGGGGAGGGGAGGGGAGGGGAAAGAGCCTGACTCTGGCTGGCTGGGTTGGCCCATGGTCACCCACCACCACAATCAATGGTCACCCACCACCACAATCAATGGTCACCCACCACCACAATCAATGGTCACCCACCACCACAATCAATGGTCACCCACCACCACAATCAATGGTCACCCATCACCACAATCAATGGTCACCCATCACCACAATCAATGGTCACAGCAATGGTCCACACAGGCGTTGATCGCCCGCTCCGCACCTCCCCACCCCCCCACCCCTCTCCACACACCCCCGGGGAGCTGTGCAGGTGGATGTCCCTCACTCCGGCCTTCCGCTTCAAACTTCCGCACACTGTGCGGGAGGGTCTGGTGGCCATTGGCAAGTGTACGTCGCCAGGCAGAGGAGGGGAAGGGGAGAGGGCGAGGGGGCCGGGGGGGGGGGGGGGGGGCCCGGGGGGTGGGGGGGGGGGACGGCAGTGGGTGGTCGGCAGTGGGGCAGTGGGGGGTTGGTGGCGCAGGGGAGGGAGGGCAGGCGGCATACTCACGTACTTTCTGTGGTTCTATGTGCTTTGCTGGGCTTTGCTGCTGCTGCGGATATCGTCCTCGTCCTCGTCCTCGTACCGGACGTGGCCGTCTCTGGCAACGACTTGGTCTGGTCGACTCTGCGCCATTTCGCGACACAGTCGACGGCCGCACGCCATCGCTCGTCTTTGCTACATCCGGCGGCAAGGTCGGCGTTCACGCTCCGCATGGGCCGGCCGGCGGGACCGAGGTCTCGTTCCTCGCCGTCAACCTCACGCTCACCGCCCTTGCCACGGGCCCGCTGGTGAGCGACGGCCGCGACGTGCTGGTCATGGGCACGGAGACACTGCTGCTGATGTACGATGTCCAGGAGAATGCAGACGTGCTGTACAAGGAGGTCGAGGACGGTGTCTTCTCGCTGGTCATCGGCCTGCCGCCGGGCGCCGCTGCTGATGGCGCAGGCGCGCCGCGCTCGCCACTGGTCTACGTCGGCGGCAACTGCTCGCTGCAGGGCTTTGACGTCGAGGGCAAGGAGCAGTACTGGACCGTCACCGGCGATAACGTGACTGCGCTCGAGATGTGCGACGTCGAGGGCGACGGCATCCCCGAGCTGCTTGTCGGCTCGGAGGACTACGAGATCCGCATCTACAAGGACGACGAGGTCATCTCGGAAATCACAGAATCGGCCGAAATCGTGGCCCTCACCGCCATGCACGAGTTTGTCTACGCCTTTGCCCTCCGTGACGGCTCCATCGGCGCCTACCACCGCACAAAGCGGCTGTGGACACAGGCGACCGGCATCCGCCCACCGCCCAAGTCGCCTTTGACCTCGACATGGACGGCGTGGCCGAGATCGTCACCGGCTTTGCCGACGGCACCCTCCAGGTCCGCCGCCAGGACACGGGCAAGCTCATGTACGTCGAAAAGATGGACGACGGCATCGCCGCCCTCCTCGTGGCAGACTACCGCTGCGAGGGCAAAGACCAGCTCGTCGTCGTCTGCGTCAACGGCGCCATCCGCGGCTACCGCGCAGAAGACGTCCACGGCGAGGGCGCCGCCACCCTTGCCGCGCTCCGCGGCGATGCCCCACTGGACGAGCCGCCCACCCGCCCCGACGCAAACGCTCACCTCGGCTTTGCCGACACCGTCGACGGCGACGACGGTGCCAAGGCAGCCTCTGCCGACGCTTCAATGTCGCCGCGCCCTTCGCCGACCCCGCTCGCCCCGCACGAGCTCTCCTCTCACAAGATCTCCGCCGCTCGCGCCACCGCCATTCTCGGCAAGGATCCGCTGCAGGAGAAGCTCGACGCACTCCTCGAGGAGAAGCACCGCCTCTCGCACCAGCTCCAGACCACCAGCTCAAACACGGCCCGCTTCAAGTCGGCCGACGCCACTCCCGACGAGGAGCTCGTCCCCACCAACACACGTGTCGACATTACCCTCGTTCCCAACTACTCCACAAACTCGGTCGACCTCGTCGTCGAGACCTCCAACGAGACCGTGCTCGCCGCCGTCACCCTCACCGCAGACCACCTCTTTGAGCAGCAATCCATGCTTGTCCACCCTGACGAGGCCCTCTCCTCCGTCCGCGTCGCCATCATCCCGCAGAAGGACACCGAGCAGTACGTCGACGTCACCTCGCTCGTTGGCTACCGCGGCGCCTCCTTCTTCCAGGTCTTCTCTGACCGCATCCGCTTCCCGCGCTTCGCTGCCTACCTCCCGGTCGACAAGGCCGCCGTCCAGATCCCCAATGAGGGGATTGTTGTCCGCATCGCCGAGCGCGCCTCGCAGCTCTACGTCTGGCTCCGCTCGCGCTTCCTCTTCAATGGCCTCAACGTCGAGGCCTCTGGCATGGACATTGCCCTCTCTTCCCTTCGCGACGGCCACATCGTCGGCATTCAGTTCTTTGAGGACCGCGGCCTGCTCCATCTCAAGTCGCACTCGATCGAGTTCCTCGGCGAGCTCGTCCAGGACCTCGCCGACTTTCTGCACCTCGACCACGTCGATTCGCAGGCCGAGTTCCCCTCGCTCATGGCAGCCTTCTCTTCCACGCTCACTCAAGTCAAGGCCTTCCACTCGACACGCCAGAAGCTCTCCACTGACATGGCCGAGACCGCTAACCTGGCAAAGACCCTCGTCGTCAAGGCCGAAGACGCCCGCATTCTCGGCGACATGCACGCCATGAAGCAGCACTACTCGGCCCTTGCTGCTCTCAACCGCGACCTCCTTACAGAGTTTACCAAGCGCAAGAACAACCACAGCGCCCTTCTCGAAAAGCTCCGCGACGTCCACCGCATGATCCAGCGTGCCGCAAGGCTCCGCCGCGGCGAGCCCGCAAAGCGTGTCATCGCCGCCTGCCGCAAGGCTCTTGCCGACTCCAACATGCCAGCCCTCATTCACGCCATTTGCTCTGGCGGCGCCGCAGAGACATAGCTGTTCTCGTAGTAACACCAATACTCTACTCGTGTGACTCGATCGATGCCGACACGTACTGAGAGCCCTCGCACACGCTCGCCTCCATGCTCGCCTTGGCCTGATGCCGCCAAGACCCCGGCGGCATCGGCCTCGCCAGAGCATGTCGGGCGTGCTTGGATCTCGACTTGCCCTTGCCCTTTCCCTTACCCTTGGCCTTACGCTTACCCTTGCCCTTACTCTTGCCTTTGCCCTTGCCCTTGCCCTTGCCCTTGTCCTTGCCCTTATCAATGCTCCTACCCTTGGTCCTGGTCTCGTCTGCCACCGCCGCCGTGACCTTCTCCGACTTGGCTGTGCCCGCGTCCGCGTCGTCATCCGAAGAGCTGCTGGAGCTCATGATATCGATCATACGTCGCACAATCTGCAGCGTCTGGGTCGTGCCGCTCGACACCGCCGTCGGCACTGCCGGCTGCGAGTTGACAAAGTGCCGCGAGTGGACTTGCACATGTCGCAGCAGGCCCTGCAGGTTGCGCGAGAGCAGCGTCCGCCCGCGCCCGCCCGTCGCTCCACCACCCAAGATCCGATTGCGGATCTCGTCCTCTGATGCCTGCCGCGGTGGCGTCTGGTGGTACCGCAGAATGTCCTCGCGAACTTCCTCGCGCAACTCCGGCTGAAGCTGCGGCCGCGGCGGAACGTGCCGTCGCGCACGCCGGCTCGGCGGCGATTCGCGCAGCGGCGTCTCACTCACCACCTTTCGCTGCGCCTGACCCGGCGACCGCGACAGCGAGCGCCGACTCCGGCCCGACAGTAGATTCGTCGGAGTCTCCAGCACACGCTCGCCTGCAGCTCCGCGTGGCGCCGCCATCTCAGGCGACTGAGTGTCTGGAACAGTCGAGAGGCTCGACGACCCAGCGCCGTCGTCGTCATCGGACGAGATGGATATCAGAACACGGGCTCGCTTGGTGGGTCGCGCTGCAGTCAGCCGCAGCTCCTTGCCATCGTCATCGTCGTCGTCTGACGACTCGTCCGACTCGTCCACAATCCTGCGCCGCTTGGTGCCGACTGCCGGCATCGCCGACGCAGCCGCCTGCTGCGCTGCCAGCGCCCCCCGCGCCGCTTGCGCCATTCGCTGCGCCCGCCCGCGTGGCGGCGACGCAGACTCAAAGTCCGACTCGTCGTCCTCCGAGACGACCACAAATGCACGATCGTCGTCGTCAGCGACGTACGAGTCGAGCCCCGCAGACGGCCGGAAGCGGACGGGCGACGAGATGTCCTCGCCGCAGTCGTCCAGTTCATAGAGGTGGTCGTCGTCGTGCCGGATAATTAGCTCGTCCTCAGTCACATCCGCCGCAACCTCTTCTGCTCCAAGCGACGCAAACGAGTCGCGCAGCGCCCGCCGCCGCTGCTGCTGCCGCCGCTGCCCAGGCCCGCGTGTCGCTTGCGCGCCAGCCACGCATATCTCGCAGTACCATGCACCGTGCGGAATGAACGGCAGCGGAGGCTCGCAGCACCGTGTATGGCAGGCAGCATCGCAGGCATCACACAGGAGCAGGATGTGCTCGTCGTCCGACGAGCCGCATCGGAGACAGAAGACAAGCTCGAGCTCATCAGGAGGCGGCACATCCTCCAGCCGCAGTGCCACATCCGCCACATGGACTTGCTCTTGCTCCCGGCCATTGGCATCGCAGATGGAAATGACATTGAACGCTGCCTTGCACAGCGGGCACACGTTCGCCGCGCTCGCCCACGCCCGGATGCACAGCGCGCAGAACGAGTGGCCGCATCCGAGGACGCCAGTGTCTGTGGTTTGGTCAGCGAGGCAAATAACGCACGCTACTCCATCGTCGCCCTTATCCTCGACCTTGTCCTTCTTCCGCCCACTTGCTCCGCTTGCCGCCACCACCGGCCATGCCGACGACCTCGACTGTGAGCTAGGATGACCTGGTGGTCGCCGCGACTTGCGGACCAGCAGCCGCGGGGACGCAGTGAGCGGCGGCGGCGCTCGCGGTGACGATCCCTGCGAGGAAGAAGACGAAGCCTGCCCCGACGAAGAGCTCGAACTCCACGTCTTGCGCATCCCGCCTCACCCTGGCCTTCTGCCGTCAAGTGGTGGCCGCCCTCTCCCTCTGCCCCGCGCCCGTGATCGCGCCCCTGATCGCCACCTCTGATCATGACGGAAATGACCGAATCCAGCAAAAGGTCGTCACACCTTGATCACCGCCGCCACAGCACGCATGCCGGGTGCCCTCGCGCCTGAGACCACGCAGCACCTGTCGTCCTCACCCACCTGGTACTTGCTGAAGTGGTCAGCGACCGCGGAGATGGCAGCATCTGCCCGCTACTTTGCCAATCCGTTCCTCCAGGCACCCTCCTCCTCGTCCTCCTCGTCCTCCTCTCCGTCGTCGGCACCCGCCCAAGCCCTTGTCGCTGCCTGGCCAGAGCTAGAGGCCAGCGCCATGGATGCGACAGCGCGTGCGGTGCGGAAGGAGACAGCTCGGATGGTTTGGGAGACGTACGGCGATGGCGATGATGAGAACCACCACTTTGGCGTGTACACGGGCCTGGCCGGCGCTGCGCTGGCCTTCCTCCACATGGCCGCCGCCGGAGTTTCCGGTGCGAGCTCGCGGGCAAGAAAGCTGGCAAAGGCCGCCCGACGTGCGCTAAAGACCCAGCCGGGTCGCAAGCGGGAGAGGATCACCTTTCATGAAGGTGAGCCAGGCGTGTGGGCGGTGTCGGCGGCGGTGTCGGCGGTGGCCGGAGACGATCGCAGGGCCTGGGAGTACACTCAGGAGCTGATCTCGTTCTACACCGACGCCCCGACCCGCATACGCGATGCAGACTCGGACGAGATCCTCTACGGTCGTGCGGGCTATCTGTTGGCTCTGCTGTTTGTCGAGTCGTTTGGCTGTTCCGTTGACGAGCAGGTCAAGGCCGACGTCGTGACCTGCATTCTGGACTCGGGCCGCACCTGCGCGGCTCGCGCCGGCGACTCCAGCCCACCGCTCATGTACGCCTGGCACAAGAAGAGGTACTTTGGCGCTGCCCACGGCCTCAGCGGCATCTTGTACACGCTGCTGCGGGCGTGGAGCGTGGTTCCGGATGCTGCCCGTGCCGACGTCCGTGCCACCATCGACTGGTTTGCAGCTAGCCGGTTCGAGTCCGGCAACTGGCCGTCGTCGATGGGCAACAGCAAGGACCGGCTGGTCCAGTGGTGCCACGGCGCACCGGGTGCCATCCACATGCTCTGCGAAGCGGCGGCTCGTTTCGACGCCCCACAACTGCTGGACGCTGCCGTCGCCGGCGGCGACGTCATCTGGGAGCGCGGCGTTCTGACCAAGGCGCCCGGCCTCTGCCATGGGCTCGCCGGTAACGGGTTTGCCCTCTTGGCTCTCCATCGCGCCACAGGCGTCGCTATCTGGCTTGTCCGCGCCCGCGCTTTTCTTCTCCTCGCCAACTCGCCCTCCTTTGTTGAGGGTCACGAGACGTCCGACAACCCGTGCTCGCTCTACCAGGGGTTTGCCGGCCTCGCTGCTTTTGCCTGCGCACTGGAGCAGCGGCACAAGCACTCCAGCTCGCCGATCGTGCCATGTTTCCGGGCTACGAGCTGCCTGATCCTTTGCGTTCGTGACGGTCGGCCTACCGCCGCCGGAGCGTAAACGGCACGCTAGCAAGTCGCTGCTGCCGGAACGGGACGTCCATCGGCGGGAGGATTGAAGTTGGTGCGGGCGAGTTCTCGTGCGGTGGGACAAGCGACCGCTGGCGCTCAGACTCGTCCCAGACCTCAGCGGCCCACGAGACAATGGTGGCACGATCAAGGATGTCGCCGTAGACCCAAAAGAGGCCGAGCTGGCGGTCGACAGCCACCACTACTGGCACATCCTGGGCCTCGACGCCGAGGTCACGGAGGAAGCCGGCGTTGAGGTCGCCATCGATCCACACGCACGCCGGCGCGACACCGAGCGCGCGTTCGATCTGCTTGTCCAGATCCAGCACAAGTGCCGCGTGGTAGGGTTGAACCGACTTGCGGTGCATTGCAGCCTTGGACGAGTACGCGTCCCACTCGGACGCCGGCACTGCGTCTGACCAGATCGTGCCATGCCCGCTTGAAAAGAGCGAGAGCGCAAAGATAAAGCACCGCGAGCCGGCAGTACCGTCACATGCGGCCTCGAGCTCAGCGTCGGTCGCAACATGGGCGATGCTCCCGATGCCGGCAAACTGCGCGAGCGTGGCCTGGATCTGCTCGGCCTGAGACGGGATGGGCTGCGCCGACGCCGGCGAGAGCCCGTCGTGCGCCGCCGCGCTCTCGCCGCGCTCGGCCTCGTCTGCCAGCCAGTTGGCGAGCTCGGCCTCGGTGACGACCGGCTTGGCGCCGGGTTGCGTCGGCGCCCTTGGCTTAAAGCGCGCATAGTCAAAGACCCGCCCTCGCCGTCCATGGATGACCACCATCTCCGGGAGCGAGCGGAGGCCAAATGCAGCCTTGAGCTGCGCCAGCTGCGACCTCGAGCTGCCTACCAGCGAGTCGGCGTTGGCCGCCACAGCCGCTGACGCCGCAGCCGCATCGATAGCGTCGATGTCCATGCCGCCAGTGAGGGTCATGCCGGGCACAACCACAAACAGAAAATGATTACGGAACTGGCGAGCCAGCCTGCGGACCGGCGCCGAGATAAGAGTGCGCTTGGTGAAGACAACAGCGAGGCGGCGGGCTTGCGGGCCGCTTGGCGTCGCGAGATCACGGGCAGAAACAAGAAAGTCGTCCGGCGCGAGCGTCAGCACATTTTCCACAGGCAACAGACTAAGTACTGCGTCAGCAAGCGCCTTTCCCGACTGGATGGCATCCGGATGTGAGGCAGCTGTAAAGACGACGATCTCGGGCGGATGGAGCGGAAGGACGAGCTCGACCTGTGCCGCCGGAAGTCGAGCCACATCCACGGCCGACTCTCCCACCACCACTCTTGCCAGCAGCAGATCTCTCAGCACCACAGCAGCATCATCAAACACAGCCTGGAGACTATGGCATGGCTGCCCGCAGCTCAGCATCAGCACAGCCTGCTGTGGCTTGATATCCGACATGTCACTCCGGAGGAGCTCGGCCTGGGCTACCGTCAGCGTCGGTCTGGCTGAAGAGACCGGCGCCACCACCACAGCTGCCACCACCACCACCACCATCACAGCGAGAAGAGTGAGGGGCATGTGGTGCATGAGGAGTAAGAGAGGGGGGGAGGGGGGAGGGGGGGGGGGGAGGGGGGGGGGGAGGGGAGGGGAGTCGAGTGGTCTTAGGCTGAGGTCAGGCTTCGGCTCGCTGGCTTCGGCTCGAGCACCCTGGGAGGGGGGGGAGGGGGGGGGGGGGGGGGAAGGGGGAAGGCCACCCCATCGCCATCTCTCTCTCTCCACCCACCCCACCCCCCACCACCTTTCACCCACCACCCTCCACCCAAAGGGCGAGAGAGTGGCACCGCCTGTCTTGGTGGTGGCTTGCGGACGGTTGGTGGAAGAGGGCAAGGCGAACAAGGAGACGGACAGAGCGGCATGAACGCACGCGGGCTGTCGCAGCTGGTGGATCCCGAGACGGTCAACACACTCGATTTGAGGTTCTCTGCTCATCTCTTTGGTCACACGTCGAGGGCATACCATTCAGGAGCTGGCGAACTGCTGACGTGCGACGAATGGTCACTCCGTGTCTGGGATCTCCGTCATCATGTTCCGCTTCGTTCGGTCCGGCTGGATCGGGAGGCTGTTAAGAGCGTCACCTTTGCCTGCTTTCTCCCTACGCATGGTGTGTATGCCCTCATCTACAACTCAAACTGCCTCACTATCCTGGATCAGGATCTGGTCCCGGTCACATCGCTCTCACTCGGCGCCGGGAGCGTCGTCGGCATGGCCGCCCATGAAGAGCGCGGCGAGCTGGTCATCTCCACAAACAACGGCCAGGTACGGGTTGTTGGCTTTGTGGCCGTCGTCGACAGAACCACCGGCGAGTTTGCTGTCTTTCGCCTCCGCGAGCTTGCCCGCGCCGTGCTGCCGGGCATCGAGTGGCTCGCTGAGCTCCACATCGACACCGACGGCGGCCGGGTGCTTGGACGCTGCGGCCGTACCATTGTCATTATCGACTACACCGAACTGGTGCTTGTCTCGACCCTGGATCGCCTCTCCTCCTACGTCGACTCGATCACGCTCACCGCCTGGACGTACGATCCAACAACAAACCTGCTCTTCACGGCGGCGCTGCAGACCACGAGATCCGCTCGTGGACGCCCATGCCGCTCAACGTCGTCGAGTGGGAGAGCTTTGAAGGCCACACCGGGCGCATCAACGCGCTCCAGGCTGCCTCGTCGCTCGACTGTATCATCTCGGCTGCAGCCGACGGCACCGTCCGGCTTTGGGACCTCGACTCGGCCGGATGCATCTCAAAGGTCCACACCTCGTATCAGGTATCGTCACGGTCTAGCGCGGCGCAGCGTCACAACGCCAAACGGATGTCCGAGGCCAACGAGTCTGCTGCAGTGCGCGCCCGGGAACGCAAGCTCCATGTCACTGGAGGCGCCACCGAGGCGGGCGCAGGAAGCCTTGAGTCGCTGACCGAGCTCGAGCCCGGGTCCGACGGCCAGCCCCCGGGCGCCTCGGCTGGCTCAGCGCACCTGTACAACAAGCCGCCACACGCCCTGCTCTTTGTTGATGACGATGCGCTGGACGTCTACGCCCGCACCATTGTGGTTTTCTCCGAAAACGTCATCACTCTCATGCACGTCTTTGAGCAGCCAGTGCTCTTTGCTCAGCTGCCGTGGCGTGCCACGGGCATTTCGTGGATTCCGCCCGTCGAGCTTCCACCAACAACGCCGACCGACGCGCTCAACGCGTCGTTGCCGGCGCTCGCGGCTTCGCTCCGCAGCTCGATTGCCTCGATCCAAAAGACAGGCCCCAGATCCAGCTCACCAGACAAGGCTGGCGGCGGCAGCATTGATGACCCCCAGCTTGCGGCCGCTCTGGCAGTCCTGGCGCGACTCGCTGTCAAGGGCCATTTTGTCGCGCTTTGTGGCGACGGTAAGATCCGCGTCCTCGACGCCGAGTCGTGCGAGCCAGTCAAGGCCTACTCGTTCTTCGACCTGGCTGAAATCCGCCGAATCGCCGCTCAGGAGGAGGCTCTGCTGACTGCACAGGCGCGCCCGTCGGCGGAGCAAGCGGCCACTGTCCGCCGACAGCTCAATCAGTCGTACGCCGCCTACGCCAAGAAGCGGCTCAACTCGGACTATGTCTCGCGGCGGCGCCGGAGAGCAGCAGACGCTGCTGTCGACGTCGATGGCCTTGACGGTGTTGCCAAGGCCTCATACATCTCCAAGCAGCTTGGCTTTCAGTTCTCCGCCGCAAGTTCTGCTCTCGATCGCGAGGGCGAGGTCGGCCTTGTTGGCGATGTGCTTCATGTTGAGCGGGTGCAGCAAGCCAAGCAAGATGTGGAAGCCGCCAGCTTGGCAGCATCCGCGGCGGCGATCGCCGCCACCAAGGCGCTCTTTACGCCGTCGTCTCAGCTGCTAGTCGTCGGCTTCTCCGACGGCCATCTCGAGGCCATCGATTGCGAGGTGCTTGGCGAGCGAGCTATGCAGACGGATGGCAGAAAGCAGCCGCCGCTTCCTCGCGCTCGCGTTGGTCAATGCGATGAGGAAGTGCTGCGAGCCGCCGATACTTTGGTGTACTCGGCGCCGCAGTGCTCAAGCGATGTAGTGGCCATGATGGAGATTCCGTCATCGATGAAGCACTGCAAGAGCTGCCGGCGGATGTGCGAGGCAGCCAAGGCGACAGTGGTGGCCCAAGCGCTGGTGGAGAATGCGGCCGGTCGGATCAACTCTGTGCCAGACCTGCGCGTGCCTGCAGCGTCTCCGGCAGAGATCCGTGCCCAGCTGGTGGCCCTCCTTCGCACGTTGCACGCCGAGGCGCCGGTGGTGGCCATTCCTGGGAGTAGCGGGCAGTCGGTGCGAGAGATGGTCGACCCGAACTACATCGAGTCTGACGTCGCGGTATTCCACCATCTCTTCGCAGAAGTCGAGCTGTGGAACATGGAGTGGGCGTACTTTGCGGCTGCCACCATCGACGGCGGATTTGGCGTCTGGTGCTCGGTCTGCCGGTCGACGCTCAAGGCTGGGTCGATCTTCTCCTCGCGGACCGTGCTCCTTGAATACTTGCCTCGGCGGGAGGCGGTTGTGCTGGCGTCGGCCAACGGCGTAATCAAGGCACTCACGCTCGATAGCTTGATGCCTGCCGGTGAGTTCCACATCCGGATTGGCGCCGAGGAGAAGATCGTGTCTACAGCGTTCGAGGCCGAGTCGCAGGTTCTTGTTCTCGGTAGCGAGAGCGGTCGTGTGGCTACAGCTGTCCTTGTCTTCAACCGGTCACACCTCGTCGATGTCCTTCCGCAGCACTCGTTTGAGGCCCACGCCGGCGGCGTGTCGTCACTTCAGATTTGCCTCCGCGGCAAGCACCTCCTCAGTTGCGGTTCCGATGTCACCATCAGAGTCTGGGACTTGGAGGGGGGAAGCGATCAGAGGCGGCGCTTCCGCTGCTGCTCTCGTGTCCGCTGCCTTCCCCGCTCACACCGCGCTCTTCCTCACTGCCAACGAGGACGTACTCGTAGTGGGCGAGACACAGGCCCATGTCTTACGGTCGTCAACGCTTGCATCGTGCTCGGCGGCACTGTCGCGTCTGCGTCGGGCAGAGATGCGGCGATGCCGCGAGCACGGCTTCACCAAAGCGAACTACACGCGGATGGCTCGGCATGTCGCCGCCGCTACCGAGCTTAATGCTGCCAAGGAGGACGCAGAGTTTGTGCAGTTTATGGACGTCGGCTACGCCGCGATGGAGGAGCAGCTGGCTGCGGACTGGGTAAGCACGCTGTCTCGGCGGCGGCCACTGCTACCCGGTTCGCAGAGTGTACACGGCACCCGGTCGCGCAAGATTAGCGAGAGTGATGTTCATGTTGTCGGTGGCGCGTCGATCCATGCTCTTGATGTGTTCATGGACCGCGGCTACCGACAGGCGCGTCGCGAGGTCGAAGGCCTCCGTGACGAGTACGTGCGGGAAATTTCTGCGTTGCTGCTGAGGATCGATCTCGATGCTGAGTCGGGCCTCGAGGCCAACGCCACTCTGCATCCACCGCGGGTACTGACGACAACGCCGACCAATGAGGCTGATGACAGCTTGTATCTGGTCGAAGTCGATTTTCTTCCACCGCCGCCTCGGCCGTCACTAACCAAGGCCGTGCTGCAAACTCGCCGGCAGGTGGTGGTTGAACTCGAGAGCCCACGATCCCCACAGCCGCGGACTGGGCGACGGACGTCGATTGTGGTTGTTGATGGCGAGACGCCGGCGCTGCTGAGCGATATGCACGCGCCGTCAGGACTACTCCGCGAGCTCGAGCCGGAAGGCGAAGTGCTGTTGGTGCCGATGCCGCGACGGGCGAGGTCGCCGTCTTCGCGGTCGCCTTCACCTCCACGACGTCTGGATCCACAAGCGGTTGTGGGTGGGACGGCGAACGACGCGGTATGTGTTGCGGCGCGGTTGCTGGCAGGCGAGAATGTGGATCTGGCGGCGACTGCTGCGCGCGACCAGGCGCGACAGCCACGGCAAGCGGTGGTGCGCGAGCGGCCACACACAGCGTCGGTGCTCTCCCCTCCACAGCCTCGGTCACCGCCTCCACGACCGCAATCGGCGCTGATTCGGGCTCGCGGGGAGACGTCACCCGGAGTGTGGGATCCACGAACTTCGATCTCGCCACCAAGCGCATCCATAGCAAGTCACCCGCTACAGCGAGGTGGCCGCGGCCGAGGTCGCGGCCATCGCCGGCGCGGTGCAGCTCCCCATGTGCATCAGCAGGTCCGCCGGAGAGCAGCGATGTCGACGGTCACACTCGAGCTCTCGCCGTAAACCTTTATCGTCGAAGGCTAAGCGAAGAAAGGAATGTCCTGTCAATGAACGAGATGGTCTCGCGCGGCAGAGAGTCGCGAGCGGGAAAGGCAAGGTCAGGCTGTGGCGTGGTGGTAGGAGGTGGCGATGGAGACCGCGGAGTTGCGGTTGGTGTACGGGTGTCGTCGAGAAGATCGCGGAGGAACGAGCGAGTTGAGAGTGGAGGCGATACAATGCGAGATGGTGGACAAGAAGAAGGTGGTGTTGATGGCAGTGGCGGTTGCGGTTGCGACGGAGGCCTGGCAGCGGTGGTGGTGACGGTGGGCTGGGGCGGCAGCTCCGGAAAGCGAATCGGATCAGTGACGAAGCTTGGTCGTGCCTTGCTGTGGAGACGTTGACGACGCGCAGAGGCAAAGCGCTGCGGAGGTAGGCGGGTCAGTTGTGTGGCTTCGGATGGAGTCGGGCTTGGGACGGGCATGGTCTCTTTGAGAAGCGTCCAGATATCACCATCGGCGTGGCGGGTGGTTGTCCGGCGCGGGACTGCCACAGGATGCGGCTCGGGCCGCTGCGGCGGTAATGGATGGCGAGTCGGGTGAGGAAGGGCAAGCGGAGGAGGTAAGGCACGGGAACTGAGGTGGAGATCATCAAAGTTGAGATTCGTAGTGGCAGTAGACGGTGGTGGCGGCGGAGTGGCCGGTTGTGGAACAGCAGGAATGCGGAGCGGCAAGGAGGCAGAACTCGGCGGCGGCCGGCGGCGGCGGCGGCGGGGTGTCGGGGGCGTGGGCGCGTGTAGAGCGATGGTGGCAACATGGCTTGGACGATGGTGACGGCTGGCATGGGTGCGAGGACTTGGCGTGGCCATGGCCTGAGGATCGTTGCCAACAGCGCGCTCCGTGTGGCGTCGCGAGTCGGAGCGAGGTTGCGGCGTGACAGAATATGGGTAGGAATCAAATGAGGCTGCAGAGCTAAGCCTGCGCTGCGATCTAGGACTGACTGCGACTCTGCTGTGCCGCGCCACAGCCGCTACCGTGCAATCGACATCGACGTTGCCAGCTGCTGGATCGCCATCAATAGACCTGCGGCCTTCCCAAGCGCAGTCTTCGCCAGATGTGGTGCAGTCGCCAATATCGTGTCCAGCTTGGCCACGGGCCTCGGGCGCAGTCTTGGCCTTATCCTTGGTATGAGCTCCCCGGCCGGCGGCTTCGGCTTTGGCATTGCCTCTTAGATCGGAATTGTAGCTGTGGCCCTCGGCCCCAGCCTCGACCTCACTGCTGTCCCGGCTCTTGGCATCGTCGCCCCAGCCCTCGGCCTCGACCCCAGCATCGCCATCATCGTCACTCCAGCCCTCGGCCTCGACCTCGGCCTCGAACTCACCATCATCGTCGCCCCAGCCCTCGGCCTCGACCCCAGCATCGCCATCATCGTCACTCCAGCCCTCGATCTCGACCTCGACCTCGACCTCACCATAATCGCCGCCCCAGCCTTCGGCCTCGACCTCGGCCTCGACCTCACCATCATCGTCGCCCCAGCCCTCGGCCTCAACCTCGGCCTCGACCTCACCATAATCGTCGCCCCAGCCCTCGACCTCGGCCTCGACCTCGGCCTCACCATCATCGTCACTCCAGCCCTCGACCTCGGCTTCGACCTCGGCCTCACCATCATCGTCGCCCCAGCCCTCGACCTCGGCCTCGACCTCGGCCTCACCATCATCGTCACTCCAGCCCTCGACCTCGGCTTCGACCTCGGCCTCACCATCATCGCCACTCCAGCCCTCGGCCTCGACCTCGGCTTCGACCTCACCATAATCCCCAGCCCTCGACCTCGGCTTCGACCTCGGCCTCGCCATCATCGTCACTCCAGCCCTCGACCTCGGCTTCGACCTCGGCCTCACCTTCGACCTCGGCCTCGCCATCATCGTCACTCCAGCCCTCGACCTCGGCTTCGACCTCGGCCTCACCATCATCGTCGCCCCAGCCCTCGACCTCGGCCTCGACCTCGGCCTCACCATCATCGTCACTCCAGCCCTCGACCTCGGCTTCGACCTCGGCCTCGCCATCATCGTCGCCCCAGCCCTCGGCCTCAACCGCGGTCTCGACCTCACCATAATCGTCGCCCCAGCCTTCGGCCTCGACCTCGGCTTCGACCTCGGCCTCACCATCATCGCCACTCCAGCCCTCGGCCTCGACCCCAGCATCGCCATCATCGTCACTCCAGCCCTCGATCTCGACCTCGGCCTCGACCTCACCATAATCGTCGCCCCAGCCCTCGGCCTCGACCTCGACCTCGGCCTCAAGCTCACCATAATCGTCGCCCCAGCCCTCGATCTCGGCCTCCGCGCCATCACCCCAGCCCTCGACACCATCCTCGGCCTCGGCCTCAACACCATACCTCCAGAAGTCGGCCTCAGACTCGCCTTTGCCCTCCTCCCACTCAAATGTGGAGGTCTCGGCGGCTTCTTCGCTCCCGTCACTCCCGTCAACCGCAGACTCGACGGCCACTACCTTTGCCTCGCCACCGGCCATCACATCCATAACTTGAGCCACACATGAGTGCGCCTCCTCCTCGGCAACCCCGTATCGTGTACGGAGCAGCTCAGGGTTGAAGCTGATGTTGAGCCGCTGCAGCACATGCCTCAGGCCGAGAAGCGTCGACGGCAGCCGCACGAGCCGGTTGTGGCTGGTATCCAGTTCGCGCAGCACGCGCATGCCACCAACTTCCACCGGAAGCGCAACGAGCCGGTTGTGGCTCACATTGAGCACACTAAGCTGCTCCAGCGTCCGCACACTGGACGGCAGCGCCACCAGATCGTTGCGTGAGAGGTCGAGGATCCGCAGCGATGCCGGAAGCGACGCCATCCACTCAGCATCGATGGTATACAGTGCATTGCCAGCCAGCCGCAAGACCTGCAGCGAAGTGCAGTTTGCCAGACTCGCGCCCTCAGCGGACAACGAGTCGATCGAGTTACAGCTGAGATCCAGCTCGATGAGCTCGTCAAGCGCGAGCAAACACCGTGGGACCCGGTGCAGTCTGTTGTGTGAGAGTCGAACCACTTGGATCAAGACCGGTAGCTGCAGCAGGTCAAGATCAGCATCTGCGGATGGCCCCTGCCCTCGCGCCTTGCCCTTCTTTCGCTGCTTGCCGCGGCGACTCTTCTTCGCCGCCCTTGCGGCGCTAGTCGACGCGATCGCCACTGTTTGGTCGACAATCTCGTCCGATCTGAGCAACGAGAGAGAGTTGTGTGACATGTCTAGCTCGCGCAGTCCAGAGAGTAAGGTCAAGCCCTCGGGCAAGCCCATCAGCTTGTTGTGGGCCATGTTGAGGACGGTGACACGCGGCGCGGTCTTGGCGCCAAACACCGCCGCAGGCACTACACGCGCGTGTCGGAAGCGGAAGCTGACGTGCCCACGGGCGTCCACCACAGGCTCCATCCCCTCTGTGCACTTGCCCTTGCCCACACCCTCTTACTGGCGAGAGGTGCTGCCCTCGTCCCCTCTTCTTCCCCTGCCCCTGCCCCTGCTCCCGAGCCTGTCGTCGGCGACTGCCGCCCGTCTGCCACACGTCGCCCGCCTCGACCAGTATGTGGAGCGATGGCTCATCGCGACGGCGGTTCGATGGCTTTTGCAGAGAGAAAAAGGTGTCTTCAATGGCTTCTGTCATCAATGAGGTGCGTTGCTGTAGGTCGGGATGGAGACCGGCGCCTACATGGCAAACGCGCCGCCAAGGCCGCGCGAAGCACGCGCGCCTCTGTTGGAGGCCACCGAGTCGGAGTCGCGCTTGAGCTGGTGGATGAGGCCAAGGAGTCGCTTCCGCCGGCCAATGACGGTCATGCCGAGCTCCTTAAGATCAGAGTCGTTGAGGGCAACAAAGCCAAAGCCGTCGATCTCGGCAGCACGAAACCGCTCGGCGAGCTCGACGTCGTACTTGTGCTCTCGAACGAGGAAGCAGACGACATCGTCGACGGTCCACCGCTCCCAAGCAAGAAGCTCAATGTTGTCGAGCGGCGCCGGAAGGCCGAGCTCAGAGCCGGAGATCGGAGTCATCTGGGTGTTGGAAATGGTGAGCATGCCTGAGTTGTCGTACGATTTTTTCTTGCGCGCAGCCTTGGCCGCCTTTTCGGTGTTGATAACCGGGATGGAGACGTTGCCGGCGAGCATGTCGGCGAGGGTGGTGATCGCATAGCCAATGATGTCGTCGGCGGAGCCTGCGTCCCAGTCGTAGACCTCAAACATGAGCTGCCTGTGAAGATCGTTGGCGGCGAGGCCGCAGAGCGAGATGCTTGCCGGCTGCCAGGTCGGATCCAATGTCTTCTTGACGGTCTCGGTGCGGTAGACCGGGACCCAGCCTGGCGAGCCGACAACCGCGTCCGGCGTCAGCGCCCGCCGCACAATGACATACGGATCCGACTTGCCGAAGCGATCCATCTTGTCGAGGCCGGCGGCGGAGAGCGAGAAGCTCACCATGGCGTGCTCGACGGTCTCGTCGACCACGTTGGCGGAGACGGTGATTGTGCCTAGCGCACCGTGGGAGCGATAGGCCAGCCCACCAAACTTCATGCCATTGGACATGCCGTCCATTGACGCCCGCGGATCTTTGTCCTCCCACGCCAGACGAGTGGTAAAGGTGCACGATGGCTCGGAGAGAACCGACAGCATGTTGACCTTGGTCTCGCCGATGTAGTCGTGCGAGGTCAGCGAGGTGAGCGGATGGTCCGGCTTGTCGACGTCCAGCATAAAGAACCGCATGACGTGGTCCTTCAGATCGATTTTGCGGACGCGGGTGTAGAGCGGGGTGTAGAAGACTGGATTGTTGTCGTTCTTCTTCACCTCGGTGGTACCGATCTTGCGATCGTAGGGGCAGTTGAGGCGGACAAAGCGGTTCTCGGTGCCGATGAGAATCGGATCCGACTTGGACAAAGCATCCATATCCAAGATGTTTTTGCAGGAGAAGCGAAACTCGATGAGGGCACCATCGGGGATGTGGCCAAACTGGCGATCGATCTCACTGGCGAGGACAATGACATCCTTGTCAATGGGTCCCCATTTGGCGAAGTTGACCATCCGCGGGTCATTGCCGTATTGCTGATGAATGAACGAATCATCAGCCAGACCAGTCAACGAAGAGGATGCAGCCATATTGGACAGAACGAGCTTCAACAGTACCGGAGTTAGTGTGTAGTCGGGTGTATCCCCACCACCGCCACCTTCTCCCTGTCCTGCACCGTCGCTCCAACTGACACATGCTGTCACCCCCCCCCCCCCCCCCCCCCAAGCTCACACGCCATCGGTTCTGAGAATCAGCCCTGTCCTGACAGGCACACAACTGAATCAATGCCTCCATTCCAGAATGAAAGTCCATCGTCCAGGTCAGCTCTGAGCCACCATCACACCGCTTTTGGGCCAAGTGCAAGGTACTCTATGATGCCGGCCGAGCGATCGCTCCGCTGGCTCGACGGCCTGGCCCCTCTGTGCCGGCACATCGTGCCGATCGACACCGTGACCGGCGAGGCGGTTGCATGGGCTGATGTCACACACTTCTCACGTCCACCACAATCAAATGAGATCGTGTGGTGCCAAGAGTCCGCTCTTTGTCATCGTTGTCGTAGATTGTGTTGCAAAGGGCAGCTGGGTGGCTTCCGGGCTCCTCCAGAGTCGAGCTGTGCCGACGCTATCGGCGCTCAAAGCAAAGTAAAGCTTCGCATCGCCCAGCCCCTCGCGGGTGTTAGCCAGTGGTGGCAACACTCCCCGTAGCTCACACCAAAGGCAGAAGATCCCGAACTCGGTGGCCAAGCACGACTCACAGCAGAGATGTCCGCCATGGTAGTGGCCATCGACGCCATGGTAGTGGTCCATGGCGCGGGCTCATCGGCAGACCTCACTGCGATCCACCACTTTGGGCCAATGTCGTGGGAAGGGGCACCCGGGAGCTACGCAGGGTACCATGGGCATACCTGGGGAGGTACAACTGGAGAAGGAGGCGGGGGGGAGGAGGGGGAGGAGGGGGTGGGGGTGGGAATGGGGGGTAGCAGGCGCAGCAGGGGTAGGGGGAGTGCCACCCGCCCACGGGCAGCCCCACGGAGGGGCACAGGGAGGGACGGTCGGAGCTGGCTTGGTGGGAGTCGGTATGGTTGGTGGTATGGGCCAGGGCATGGTTGGAGCAGGGGGACAGAGTGGGGGCAACACTACGTACTACCCGCCGCCACCCGTGTCGGCTCACCATGCTGCTGGCTATGCCCATTCGGGGTATATGGCTGCTACGCCTGGAGCGTATGGCAGTCAGGCCGGCTATGGCCAGCAGCAGCAGCTCGCCCCACAGTGGGGCGCTGCCTATCAGCATCAGCATCAGTATCAGTATCAGCAGCAGCAGCAGCAGCAGCACTACCACCACCACCACCAGCAGCAGCAGCAGCAGCATGCGGTAGGCCATGGCTACGCTGGCCATCCCGCAGCTCAGAACGTATACGCTCATCAGCAGCAGGCTTACGGATCAGATGGCTACCCCGCAGGTCAGTATCAGTACCCCACCACTCCGGGCCATCATCATGCTCCGGGCCAAGAGTACACCCAAGCGCAGGCTGCCACACCGATCGCGCAGTCTACCTTTTACCCGCCACCGCAGGAGTCGGCCGAGGCGATGCAGCAAGCTCAAGCAGAGGCTGCTGCCATTCAGGCACAGGCCGCAGCCCAGGCGGCCGTGGCAGCGTCACTGGCCTCAGCGCCGTCAGCAAGTCTGATGGGTTCGCCGGCAAAGCCGCCGCTTCCGCCGGGCCCGCCGCCGTCGACAGGCGGGACGACGCAAGACATCTCCGGTACCATCGAGTGGTCGCCGGCCATCAAGGCCTACGCACGCAAGCAGCGGCTGCAGGCCCGGTCGCAGCTCTCGTCGCAGCAGATCGCCGCCAGGGTCTCGGCGCTTGTCTCTGCCCTCGCCTCCAAGGGCGAGCTCGAGTCGACCAACTGGGCCGCTCTCCCGCCACTCAACATGCTGCCGACCCACATGTTTGCTGTCTCGTCGGCGCTCGAGGCGCCGTCGGCCAAGCGCAAGCGCGCGCCCACACCGCCAGCCGCCGCCACGGCGACGGCGGCGTCGGCGGCCTCGGCCTCGGCCTCGGCCTCGTACTACACCCACGACGACTTTGTGGGCCTGAGCGTGCCCAAGAAGAAGCGGGCGAAAAAGGCCAAGGCGAGCAAGGCACCGAAAGATCTGATTAGCGCTAGCGGGCGCGGCGGCGATATGGTTCGCGTCGCCTCGCTCGACCAGGAGGAGCTGCAGCGGATCCTTCGCGCCGCCAGGTTCGGAGCCGCCGAGGCCGGCGTCGAGGTTCCACCGGTCGGCGACCTGCCCGAGTACATGTCGCGCAAGGCGCTGCGCAAGCTGCAGCGGCTGGCCCGCAAGGCCAACAAGGCGTCGGCCCGCAAAGAGGCTGCAACTGAGGCCCGCGCGAGCGCCATCTGGAGCGGCAACGCTTTTGCACACCTCACCGCCTCCAAGACCGCCATCACCGAAGACATGGACTGGGGCTCGGTCTCGGTCCAGGGCACCTCGACCTCGCTCAACAAGCCATACCTGCGGCTGACCTCACCGCCGGCACCCGACACCGTCCGCCCGCTCCCGGTCCTCCGCGCCGCCCTCGACCACCACGTCGCCGCCTACGAGGCCGGCACGCCGTACCTCGACGTGTGCGAGCAATTCAAGTCGATCCGCCAGGACCTCACCGTCCAGCGGCTCAACAATGCTTTTACCATCAAGGTGTACGAGACCCACGCCCGCATCGCCCTCGCCAACAGCGACCTTGACGAGTACAACCAGTGCCAGACTCAGCTCAAGCCGCTCTACGCCACCATCCCGGACGCCGGTGCCCGCGCCGAGTTTGCCGCCTACCGCATCCTCTACACCGTCTACTACCAGCAAGACCTCGAGCTGATGAAGACACTTGCAGGCCTGACCAGCGAGCAGCTCGCCTCGGACGAGGTCCAGCATGCCATCGCTGTCCGCTCCACCGTCGCTCTCGGCGACTATGCCGCGTTTTACCGCCTTCTTGACGCCGCGCCCGGCCTCACCGGCCACCTCATGGAGCCGATGCTTCCCCGCATGCGCGCTCTGGCCTACGACACCCTCCTCCGCGCCTACCGCCCGGTTGTCCCGCTCGATCTCCTCACCTCGGCGCTTGGCTTTGCCGGCGATGCCGACGCCGCCGTCGCCTGGGTCCGCAACGAGCGCTCCGGCGCCGTCGTTACCCGTTCCGATGGCGCTGTTGTCCTCGACGTCAAGACCTCATTGCAAGCGAGGTCGCGTCCGTCGTCGCCCACACGTTGAGCGTCAGCGCGCTGTCGAGATCCTCAAACGAGAGGTGCGGAAAGAAGGCGGTGGCGAGCTCGAGCCCGAGCGCCACCGCGTCGTCGGTGCTCAGCACACTCGACGGCGCGAGAACAAACGCCCGTCCACCCGACCTGCTCAGCGCCTCCACCAGTGCCGACACGCCCGTGCCGCCGAGATCCACTACTCTAGCTCCAGATCGCGCAATGACATGCGCGGGGAGCATGTACGTGTGGAAGCCGACAACCGTGGCGTCCGGCCCAGCCTCGCTGGCCACCCACACCGCGCCGGGCACAACGCCACCCTGATGGAGGACGCCGAAAACGCCGAGTGTTGCAAGATTAAACACCGCCCATGACGCCCAGAATCGCTTTCGCCCGATCGGGCCCAGCTCCTGCACCGCCCCGGCGCCGAGCACCGCCACGCTGGCCATCATCGGCGCCAGGAAGCGTGGCTCCTGGTGCGGGACGATAGAGAGCAGGCAGAGGAAGGCGAGCGCAGGCACCATTACCCACCGCAGGCCCGCGCTCATTTGCCGCCCGGCAGCAAGCCCGTAGCCCGCCATCGCCCAAAGCGGGCCGAAGAGCATGACTGTGTTGACAAGTGCGTGTGTCGCCCGCGGGTGGAGGCCGTGGCTCGCCACCGACGCTGCGTCGCCATTGTACGCCACAAAGTTGATCGGCGGCACCACAAGCGCTTCGTAGTTGTGCCCGGTGTGATCAGAGAGCGTATACCTATAAAGCAGTGTCTCGCCGCAGGCTGCAGCGAGCCAGACACCAGCCACCACCGCCAGGCCAACCGCCACAGAGCCGAACATCCGCTTGGGGTCCCACCCGGCCCAGCTCGCCATGACGAGAGCGAGGCCGCCGGCAAAGCCCAGAAACGATGGCCGCAAGTAGATCCCCAGGGCCACGACAACCGCGACGGGGACAATGTCGCTGGCGTTGCAATCGCGCCGCCGCCAGCGGTCGGCGGTCAACAACGCCGCCGCCGCCGCCGCCGCCTCAACCCCGTTGGCCAGGGGGCGGGCGCCGATGATCAGCACCGGCCACGCTGTCGCCATCAGCCACCCGACGCTTGCCACAAAACCATGCGCGTCACCGACCGAGCTCGGCGGCGGCTGTGCCGAAGCCAGCGGCTCCTCGTCGGTCACCGAGTGCCGATGCCGCAGCCGCAGACCCTCGCGGCGGACCTGACTCGTCGACCGCACCGAAGCCTTGCGCGGGCTCGATGCCGACGCAGCGCTACCTGGTCGACCAGCTACGCCTGCGTCGGGAACATCTTTGCTGAGGGCGCGTGCTAGCGCCATGACGCAGCAGTGCGCCGGAAGGGCGATGAAGAGGGCCGAGGCGATGCGCGGCGCGGCGACGATGACCGACGGAGTGAGAGCTGACGGGGCGATGGCCGAGATGAGCATCCATGGAAGGCCGGCCACGAGCCAAGGAATGTACAACGAGCGAAGCGGAGCCGCCGCCGTGGCCTCCCACGGCAGATGCGGGCGTGTGGCGAGCACGCTTGGCGCCACCAGCTCTGCCGTCTGGTGATGCTCGTCCGGGTGGAGGTACGAAGGGCTCACCACAGCAGCAGCGAGGAGCAGGGCAGCCACGAGGGCGAGCGGAGGTGGTTTGGAGAAGAGGCACATGGTCACGCGCCACACTACTGTGATGAGTGGTGTGGTGCGGGTTGAGCGTGGAAGGGAGGGAGGGGGGCGGAGGGGGGCGGACAGAGGCCACATGGCGCCAAGCGGGCGGAGGAGTGAGAATGGATGGTTAGTGTGGCGCCATTGCGGGCGGCCGATGGGGATGATACCATTGAAGGGTATGGTGGTGTGGGGAGAGAGGGGCAAGGGGGATGGATGGGGGGAGAAGGGGGGTCATGGGATGGGGCGGTTGTGGTCACCATCCCTACCATCACCATCCCCACCATCACCATCCCCACCATCACC